GGTATCACTCTGAAGCCAGATGTCCGACCTACCTCTAACTCAACATTCACATGCATCCCCCCTGCCATGGTACGCAGATGGGGGTGGAACCCCCAAACCAGAGATACTCAAGGGAATCAATGTCACAGAAGGCAAAAATTACTTTCCAAGCACAGACATCTTTCCAGTATTTAAAGAAAACGGAAAAACATCTCAAGTCAAAAACCTTCAGATAGAACACCTAGGGTCAGAGATTTTTTTCTTATTTTTTGAGATAGGGTCTCATTATGTGGGCTAGGCTGGCCTCAAAATCGTGATCCTCGTGTCTCCTGTCTCAGTCTACCAGGTATATATATATACACACACACACACACACACACACACACACACACACACACGTATGCGTGCCCCTCTAAAATGTGTTTGTTTTTCTGTGGTACTGGGGTTTCAACTCAGGACCTGGCACTTGCCAGGCAGGTGCTCTACCACTTGAATCACTGCTCCAGCTCTTTTTGCTTTTAGCTATTTTTAAGCTAGGGGCTTCTGCTTTTTGCCTGGGCCAGCCTTGAACACAATCCTCCTACCTATGTCTCCTGCGTAGCTGGGATTACAAGTATGACTCATGATATCCAACTTTTTTGTTGAGATGGGATCTGACTTTTTGCTCTGACAGGCCTTGAACCTCGACTCTCCTGCTCCCAGCCTCCCTAGTAGCTGGGATTATAGGTGTGAGCCACCAAATCCTGGCTTGGTTTATAGAACTTTTAACTAACCCCTTTATTCTTGTTCTTCAAAAAAAAGAAAAGTACAAACAAAAACTTTCCATTAATTTCTCAAAAGTATTTTACAGAAGCAGTGATCTAGTAATTTTCTTTAATATCAAGACAATGATACACTTTACACACCACTGACTAATGAAAACAAGATGAGGACAACTATTAATATGCTTTTTAACAGCTTCTGAGACTCATTCCCATACACCAGTGAATTCATGCTAATGGTACAGCCACTAATAGGAAATGCCCTTGAAATTGTAAGTTACCAGATAACTAATAATGAAATTGAACCACTGAAGAATACTCTTTCCCTTGAAAGGTACTCTGATGGCTATCCTCATTCACCTATACAAAATCTGAGGTAGAGGGAGGAAACGATAAGGATTTTGCTCATTTCTTTGGTTTCCTTCAATAAATTTTCTACAGACTGTGTCTCTGGAGTGTGTGCATCTCTATCTCCATCTCTGCATCTCTGTCGTCGACCCCACTACTGCTCCCATTCCTCCTAAAGGAATGCTAAGGTTCTACCACTGGGGGGTGCCCTGTTTTTCACTGGACCAGTCCCCCTGACACTTGACTGTTTTCTGCAATTAGTGGAAAGGCTGCAGTTAACTTGTTGCCCCGAATCTGTGTTCTAAGATGAGATCTGCAAGATGAACTCAGAACTGCTGGGTGGGAGAAGCTATGCACTGTACATGTGAATACACGTTGCACATAGGGACGCCAGAGTGCCACCGACTCACCCTTCGGCAGCTTGGTGGCACAGTGCCTAGCTGACCGTTCCCTCCATTCTCTCTAGTTAGGTAGAAGAAACAATGAAAGGGCACCTCACTTTCTCACGCTCATTGACTATTTGTGCTTCTTCCCGATGGCAATCTTTTTTTTTGGCAATGAAATTTTTTTTTTCTGTACTGCAGCTTGAACTCAGGGCCTTCACCTTAAGCCACTCTGCTGGCCCTTTTTTTGTGATGGGTATTTTTGAGATAGGGTCTCATGAATTATTTGTCTGGGCTGTCTTTGAACCACAATCCTCCTGATCTCTGCCTCCTGAGTAGCTAAGATTACAGGCATGAGCCGCCAGTGCAATGAAAATTTTTTATTAGCATTAATAGTTGTACAGGGTATATTCATTGACATTTATATATGTGCTTATAATATACTTAATTAGATTCACCCCCTCCACCATTCTTCCTCATCCCCCTACCACTCCCAATGGGCAATCTCTTTACACCCCTTTTCCATTTTTTTTTCCTGAGTTGTTAATTTTTTTCTGATAGGTTTCCAAGAGTTCTTTACATAATAATGAGTTAGCCTATGTCTATAACATGTTAGAAGTACTCTTCCTAGTTTAATACTACTTTTTGGTCTAAATATATCAATTTTCTCCTTAAAGGCTGCTACAAAATGTGTCAGGCTCAGAAAGTTCCCACGTAACCCAAGGGTAAATATAAAAAAATGCCACCTATAACTTCTTCAAGTGCTTAAAAATTAAATCCAGCTTGATAATTTTCTAGATGAAATTGTTTGAAGAATAACATTTGCCATTCTACTCTGAACTGTGGCCAAGTGCCTGAACTTTTTCTGTGAATAACTCTCTGGTTGCTGATGGACTCTCCCACTACTAAAGAAGGAAAGCAATCACAGGGGGCCATGGTAATGGCCCGGCCAACACCACCCATGCACTTACCTCAATGATTGCCTAGAAAGTCTGAGACCAGAGGGCACCTGAGCAACCCCAAAGTAGGAGTTTGAAGAAATACAGAACTATGGGGGTGTGGCTCAAGTGGTAGACTACTTGCCCACCACATGCAAGGCCCTGGGTTCGATCCCAGTACCACAAAAAAATGTTATTTCACATATCAAGTTGCAAATTCATGAATTACTCTGAAATGCAGTTACTATACAAAGTCAAGGAAGGCTCAGCTAAAGAACAGCAGGCTCAAATAAGTTATGGAAGGAAAGATAGGATTTAAAAGAAAAACAGGAGAACTGGCGAGAGTCGGGAGGTTGGGTACCGTGTGGGAGCTGAGTTTACACTGACTACTGCTCGCAATGCAGCACGGGACCACACTCTAAAGATGTGGCCCTGAGGTTGGGGTGGTGGCCATGGGACCTGACTGGGGGTAGAGGAAGTAGGGAGGCCTGGCTTCCCTGACAAATCAACACTGTCCCCAGAGGAGAACACACAGGGAAAGCAGAGCATCCCCAGAAGCACACTCCCAGAACGAATGTAGGACTTTGTCACTGACATTCAGCAAAATGAAAGAATAGGCAAACTTGTTAGTAAAAATGTTAAAGGTACCAATTAATAACCGTAATCTACTTCCTTACTCATGACATCTTTCGTGGTGCAAAAATAAACCTTTAATTTTGGCCTAAATAAATTGTTCTCATATCCCAGGTAACAGATTAGAGATAGCTATTAAAATATTTTTACTTAATTTAAATTAAACTCAAATACTCAAATTAATGATAGTCATGCTTTCTGGATTTCATTTACATTTGCAGTTCATTGTTTTCTTTGCTTCCAAAGGATTTGTTTAGATTCAGTGTTAGACTGGATTAGTAAAGTTTAATATTTTCTTTTTTAAATGTTGTTCTTATTACTTTCTAAATAGCATGGAAGAAATTTAGACTTGAATTAATCAGTTAATATTACAGTACCTAAATACTGAGAAACTTGATAACAGAACAAGATCAACTTAGTTTTAAATCTTGGTCACTGGCTAATGTGCTTTAGCTTGCCTTTTGACAACTGAAGGAGATTCTATGAGTTAAGATAAATGCCTGTTTCTATATTGTTTCCTTTGTTCATTTAAGAATCACTTCACTCTACTTCCCTTTTATCAAAATGTTGCCATTTACTTAATGCAAACCCATTTTACAGATGTTTTGTATAACTCAACTGGGCTGACTTTGCTCCCAGAGGACACTTGGCAATGCTGGGAAACATTTAGGGTCATCACAACTGAGGGCACAGAATGGGAAGAGGCCAAGAGATCTTCTGAACCCCCTCTATGCACAGGATGGGTTCAGACCTCCCACCACCATTCTTCTTCATCCCCCTTCCACTCCCAATGGGCAATCTCTTTATACCCCTTTTCCATTTTTTTTTCCTGAGTTGTTAATTTTTTTCTGATAGGTTTCCAAGAGTTTTTTACATAATAATAAGTTAGCCTCTGTCTATAACATAGACATAGCACTCACTCAGCACTCAACAGCATTCACTCAGGTTGAGAATCCTGGGAGAACAAAATAAGGCATAACTACCATTTCTTCACATTTCACAGTGAGGAAGCTTTAACCAACCAATGTTCTCAAGTACTGTGAGTGACAAAATAGAGATAAAATGTTTGTGGTGATCATTTGTCTCTGAATTTTAAATTTCTGGGTCACATTAATTTGCAGTTCAGAATGTCTACAAAAGCTATTTTTAAATGTATAGAATTTAGTTAACATATGGTACTAGTGCTTTGATAAACTCTCTTGGAGGGTTCAGATACATTATGTAAGCAAATGATTGTAACTAATATAATTATTATGGTCAGCATAACTTAAAACTTTCGTGTAGTTAAGAAGTAAAGAGATCCCATCTCCTAAAGCCGTTTATCTCTAAAGATGTACATAGCAACATGCTGACACCATTTGTTCAATTTTCTTGTCACTCATTCTAAGCATTCAGAAACAATTGAACTAGGCAGATTCACTAAGCTGGTCAAATCCTAAAACTAATATAAAGTTCCACCGCATTTTTCTCAAATTACCCCACAGTTCTGTGTTTTCTAGAAGCAACGCAGTAACAGTGTAAGCGCCGAGTGCCTGGGTTTGCTGAGACTTTCATCTACACTGCTTCCATCGGCAGGATGGGGGCACAAGCTCCGACAGTGTGAGCCACGTGCCAAGGTCCTCGACCAGTCAAAGCTCTGACTCCTCAACAACAGGACCCTTCCTTCCCATGCCTTCATTTCCTAGAGTGTTTGTGACTTCTGGGGTCTGCATTCATATCATGACAGACTTTTAAGAGCAACTCTTGATTAACACTCATTTGTCTTACAATTAGTTTTGAAAACAATCTTTAGCAGGCTCAACAGGTGAATTCTTTGTTAATACCCAACGGAAATGCATCCTAAAAGCTACTTTGATTATGCTTTAAGGGAATGGCAATAGTTATGATGCAACACAAGCTTCCACAAATGCACTTTGCTCTGGGGAAAGCAAGTCACATCTAGCAGGACGAAGACATACCTGGTTATTGCTGTTGGCAGCCGACGAATTGGCTTGAGCTACACTCGCTGAGAGGGAATCAAGGAAAGCTTGGTCAGCCACTGAATTTCCACAAGAAAACTGATCTTTTCCATCACTGGGTAAAATCTGAATATTAGAAAGAACCACGATTACTTTCATAGACTAAGGTCATTTCAGAGTGAGAGCCACTGAAGGCAAGCAAGTTCATCTATGACAGAAAAGGGGCTTATACTCTCCAATGCTATGTGTTCTCCTCTAAGTACTGCTTTTGCTGCATTCTACAATTTTGATAAGTTGTGTTTTAATTTTTACTTAAATTGTTTTAAATTTTCTCTTGAGATTTTTTCCTTGAGTTGTATAATTTGGAAGTCTGCTGCTTAATTTTCAAGTACCTTGGTATTTTCCAGTTACCTTTTTGTTACTGGTTTTGAGCACCATTCCATTGCAGTTTGAGGGCAGACTATGTATGAGTTCTCTTATTTTTTTTTTTAAAAGGAGAATATACTTTATTTTTAATTTTTTTTGGTGGCACTGGGGATCAAACCTAGGGTCTTGGGTACACTACGCAAGTATTCTAGTATGAACTACATTCCCAGCCCTTTCTTTTAAATGTGTTGACTAAGTTTTTTAGTTCAGAACATGGCTTATCTTAGATGGTCCATGTGACCTTGAGAAGAATGCGCTTTTTGCTGTTGTTAGATGATGTAGTCCACAGGCATCTATCATATCCAGATGACTGATGGCTCTGCTGAGTTCTGCCTGTTGGGATCTGTCCACTTCTGAATATGGTGTATGTGGGGAGTCTATATTCCTAATAGATAAGCAAATCTAATAATGTCTGAAATAAATATTCTTTTCTAGAATTAAGCAGAATTCTAGAAAATACTGCCAATATCAGCTTGAATCATCAGATTTTTTTCCTCAGTCCTGTCCATTTTAGGATGGACAGATGCTCAGTGCATAGAGCAAAAACAGGGTATGAAACTCAGACCTGTGGACAAAGCTCAGAGGCCTATGAATTGTCTGTAACTGTATGAACAAAGCAGGGATGTGTGTGAGTGTACCTGTTTCTGAAGGAAAATCTACAGACTCCCCAGAGGGTTGAGACTCCCTGGCTCACTCAATCAAGGACAAGAGAAAGACAGGCGTCCTCCTCATTGTACAGACAGGTCCCAGGGAAACATCCCCTGGGGCACGGCAGCCTTTCCTTTCTACTGGAAGTGAACCAAAGTACCTTAATTCTTGATCTATCTTCAGTTTTACTCCCAGGTACACCAGACAACCTTAGTTTTGTTCTGTCACCCAAGATGAGAGGCAAGTTCACCAAGTACCTAGCATCCATTCTGAGGGACCTACAGCCAACCAGCAGGGGGTGCCAGGCGGTTGACTCAGAAGAGGGTTTTGTTGCCAAGTCTTGTGGCCAGGCAGAGCAGCTCCTGCACAATGCTATGGTATACTACCTTTGGTACCTACCACAGCAAAGCTTTTGCTAGGGAATTCTCATAGCAGCCCATTTAAGACACCTGTATCTATGAGAATGAGAGAAAGAACTAAGAAGCATGTCCTCTTAAAACAGTTCTACAACAAACAGGGTTGTAGCCAGCAGCTGCAATATTAGTAAAGGAAAAATAGGGACTTTTATTCAGAAAAATTAATATTGCTATCCTTCTTAGGAACTTACTCAAAATACCCATAGGCTCTTTGGAGCTTAGGTCTATAGACAATAACCTTTTCTTAGTTCTACTAAGAAAATACATTGAAGTTCTACTTCAATGTATTTTCCCTATTTTATATAATTAGAACTTATTATTTTTACCATGGAAACTGTATTTTTAAAAAATGTGCTATCTTCCTGGCTGACCTTTAATTTGACAAGTGATGAAAAGACACTTGGTCAAGATTAGCTTTAACTGATCAACAACAGTAAGTCCTTACTTCCACATAGTCTGTGGGAACAAGCCCTCGTTCTCCTTTGCTGTTTCTTCCTTCCAGCCATCCTCCACCAACATCCTAATAGAATTATCAAGAAAAAAGAAAAGGGTTATGGTTGAGATTTCCTGCAGAAACTTCCTTTGGGAATTATCACAAGTTTATTTATAAACTGTTATGAATGTAAATTGTTACATTAAAAAGTAATAACATTAAGCTTTTTTGTTACTACAGAGCTAACACTTCAAAACTTTAAATCCGTGGACTTCTTTTACTCCAGCAAACAATATAATCTAGAAACAAGACAAACTGAACTTCAACAACAGGTAATCAAATACTAAAAAAGTCTTTCACTAGATCACCAGCATTGTAGGATTCCCTTCTATTTACTGGTCTTTGGCAGATGACAACAGTGGTTTGTAGCTCTGCTGAGCAGTGGAATATACATTCCACCTGAGCCTACACTGCTCCCACTGACCTCTCAGGATGAGGTGGAAAATAACCCGGAGGTGTTCGGAGCCTGGCCTCAAGGGGCTCTGCACAGTTCATCTCACCCTCTTGGAACCCCAGGTCGCTATGTGAATATCTAACTTGCAAGATGACGAGCCTCCTTGTTGCCCACCCATCCAGAGCCAGCCCACCAGCAAGTCTGTCAGACAGATGAGCGAGGCCACCTTAGACCATTTAGCCCCCAGTCAGGACAGGTAACTGCTGACACCAGTGTACAGCACAGGTCAGCAGAGCCATCCAGCTGGCTCACAGCCTCCTGAGTATCCTGGGTATTAGTTTAAACCACTAAATTTTATTGTCATTTTTGTTTTCTGGTGCTGTGGTTCAGAGCCAGGGTATTGTGCAGGCTAGGTAAGCACTCTGCACTGAACCAGCCCTAAACCACTAAATTCTGGATTGTCCGTTATATAAGAAGAGCTAATTGACCCATTGTTCTTAGGTTCTTCTGAATATAGAATATTAATAGACTAAATAATATAGTAGAACTCTATATCAAGCCTCCTGTTTTTCAATCTATTATCTTGGCAAAGTTCCATTTTCCTCTGAAAACAGTAAAGAGTCTTCTTAAGTTTGTAAATAATGCCATAACTGATAATTACCTGAAGCTGGATAACACATTCTATAATTGACACATTAAAATCTGCACATATTTATGAGGTACAATGTGATATTTCAATATGTGTGCAAATTGTGTAGTGCTTAAATCAGGGTACATATGACTGTAACCTCAAACACTATATCTTTGTGGTGAAAACATTCACAATCCTTTCTTTTAGTTTTGAAATAAACAGCACAATACAGTTATCTAATCACATTCTTTTTAAAAATCATTTTAACTCACAGCTTTGTCACTTTTTTACTACAAAAGCAACAATACTATTTTACTGAGAAACTGAAGAAACATTTCACCGAAAAATATTAGGCAGACAAAAGAATCTTTAATCTCTCATGATTAAAAATGAACTGACTTGCTTATTAATACCTAGCATATTATCCAAAATTTCTACATGTACTTGTTCTACCCAGCAATTCTTTCTTGTATATAAGACATAAAGTAGGTTTTCAAAATGATCTCCCTGTGAAGACATTGCTGTCACCTCCGCCACCCTTATTCTCCTTTCCTGACCTTTGTGCCACCACAGTCCTTACTGTCCTCCAATCCAGTGGGACACACCTGCACCTGTTCCTTCCTTTCTCCTAAAGGGAATCCTCAGCCCTCCTGGAACCTTCTTCTGTGCAGGAGCTGCCTAGCTCCAGCCTGGTCCCAGCTCTGCACTACTGACTTTAAATGACACAGTACTACAGAGCAGGTTTAACTCTATATACCTAACGTATCCCAAACTCACTTAATCCTTCTGAAGTTCTTCTGCCTGGTTACAGCCTCTACTTTCTCAGTTGCAAAAGCCAAGCACCTCAGTGACCCCTTCCCTCTTTCCTCAGCAGTAATGTCTATCTACGCAAGAACTACATTCCATGGCCTCCTGCACCCTTCTTTCACCTCCCGTTGCCACAACTCAAAGTCATGCTTTGTCTGCCTGCAGCTACCCCAACTCACTCTGTACACCCATCAGACTAATCTCTGTGACATACACACCCCAGCATGTCATCTCTAAAATAATCAAACAAAGCCCTTCGAGGAGCCCAGTTACCCAACCAAGTCCACAGGCTTGAGGCCTGGCCTACAGGCATGTCTGACTGGTTCTGAGGGCCTGTTTTCTTAGTCTCTTTCCTAATGGTGTATACATACCCTCTGTCCTGCTATGCTTGTTCATAATCCTAACCTAGCTGAACACATGGCTTATGAGTTGTCAATAAACGGTAGCCGAGATTGCCAAAAACCACTGCATACTTTCAAACCTATGATGCGAGGGCTATCTGTCTGAAATAACATTGCATTTCTGTCTGATGAAACCCCACCCACAATTCAGGACCTAGTCAGTCAGATTTCATCTTCTGCAATAAAGCCTGCCCTGATCAGAACACAAATGGGAATGGGCTTCTTCAACAGTAACTTGTCAACAACTCTATGTGTTTTTGTTACATCACTGTGAATTGCTCCTCTTTGACATCAAAACTCCTAAGGAGGAGAAGGAGAACATCTGGTATGTCTTCAAGTTTACCCCGCAAGGTATCTAGGACATAGCCTCATGCACAGCAGGTATCCAATAAGACTTTATCATATGGAAAAAAAAAAGTGGATGAATTTCAAACCTGAAATGCTTTAGTTTTAAGGAATAAAAGGATATTGAATAGATATTCTACACATGCAATCCAGAAAATTAAGATAGGAAATGTGAAACAGATTAATAAAAAGGATGGCTATAGAAAATATGCAGTGTGGCTGGTTGAGTGGCTCAAATGGTAGAGCTTCTGCCTTGCACATGTGAGGTCCTGAGTTCAAACCCCAGGACAACTAAAAGAAAAAAAAAAAACAGACTTAAAAAAAAGAAAATATGCAGTGTGGAATGCTGAGGCAGTGGCAGGGAGTAAGGTGGACACCTGGCTCAGGAGCACTGGCCAGGAGGGTACACAGAGCCACATCACAAAGTCAGCCATTCTCAGTGGTGCTGGGGGGTGGGGGGAAGAGGTGAAGAAAGAAAGTAATAATGGATAAAACTGTGCTCATTTTAAAACTATAAATAATAATTCTCCATACTTGCTTTTGTCCCTTTGCCAGTCATGTAAGTCCTTAATGGAATAGTAGTGATTGAAATAATTTTCTTAGAACTTTTATTTCAAATGGGGTTCATCTCATAATTTTGTTATATACTTTAAGGATGCTTACAATAAAGTTACACATAAAAAGAACTATTAAACATACTGAGGCAGATATCACACAGAGGTAATGAAACTCAGTAACAGGATCTTGGGCCTAAGATAAGTTTTAAAATGAGTATTATGTTTACTTCTGAGCTTCCTAGCTAAAAAGATCACAAAAGAAATTGAATAGTCTATAAAGATTTTATTTTATGAAAGAAATCATGGCAAATTTCCAACAGAAAGAACATGAGATAACAGATTGCATGGATATTTCAGAGAGGGCAGCCATATACCTAAGTATGTGAACAGAAATACATGTGCATGTGTGAGGATGAATGTGTGTGTGTATACACACGCTTAAATGTGGTTTTGCAAAGATGCATAAGTGCTTGCTATACATATAATTATTTATTTGAATAAAAGTTGAAACAGTTTAACTTGTAACTCAGGAAAGATAACTTCACTGGGAGCTATGCTAATAAAAGTATACACTGTTTTCTGGTAGTCTAATTTAAGGATAAAGCTTAGAACAATTAGAGTGATCAGTAAGCTAAGCTATTTAGGAAAGCCAAGGCCGTTTTGAGCAGGAAGCAGTGGTTCCAGAACCTCTACAGGGTGCCCAAAAGGCTGTAAATAATAGAGAAAAACACTAGATAAAGAGATATAATAAATTCAGTCATATACTCAGCTATCTTTAAGGGAGTGAACCTTTCTCAGTGTTTGCATAACAGCTTCTTACTGCACCATCAGCATTTCATAGCAGCAGGTAAAAACAATGTGGATTGATTGACCACAAAACAATCAAATCTTAAAATAAGCCCATAGAGGACAATCAGATGTAAACATATAGTTCTTACCGGATTTGTAATTGTGATAATTTCTCCTTCACTGACTGTCAGTTCATTATTTCCAGGTTCAGCAGCAAAATCATACATGACCCGAGCCTATTGGAGAAGAAAAGAAGAAGTTATAAATGTAAACCAAACAGTAAAAAATGCAAATGACTGGAGTTGGTTTTGTAGGTGTGCTGTTGTGAACCTGACAGCAGCTACTGGGCTGATTTGGAAGAAAGGAAGATACAATGCTGTCTGTTTCTGAAAGCAAAGATAGTTTCTGACAGCAGTCCACACTGCATTTGGAGATCAGCTCCACAAAAACTAACTCCAGACACATCCATTTCATAAAGGAAAAAAGCATGTCCTTCACTTTAGGAGGTAGGAAGGAACTATAGACATTCGTTCTGGGAACACAACACTATGCCAGATTCATGCATCTGTGAACACTCTCATCACTCCTTATCTGGAGCAGCAACTGGGATAAATTGTGGTAAGGTGGCATCCCAGCCATCTTAACTCTGAAGTTTAAGATTCATTTAGCAAGATGGACACTCTTGTGCTTTCTACTGAGCAATGACTTACATCGGGCTGGGTGTGCTAGTCCAGGTTACCTAAACAGCTGTAATTTTCAATGTGTCCCTGAAATAAAATCTTCATTTCAAATAAAACAGACTAACAAAAGCTGTTGTAGTTGGTATGAGAGCTATTTTCAACCTCTTCCTCAAGAGGAACCTTGAGACAGCAATGCAGAAGTGAGTGTTTGTTTTAGCAGTAACTGGATGTTTAAAAGGCAAATACAAGTTTACAGAGCTTTGTGTGGTGGCTGCTGCTGGGCTTCAGCTTCCAGTCCAAGGACGGCTAGGCAACATGGACACTATGTGCCCCACAGCCTACCGCTTCCATCTCAGAGCCCGGCCACAGTAGTGGCCCAGTGAGTGGCCCAGATGCAGGCCAAGCCATTAAGTGTGGTGGTGGGAGATCAAGCTGTAGGTGAAACTTGCTTACTGATCAGTTATACCACCAATGCATTTCCTGGAAAATACATCCCTATGGTCTTTGGCAATTGTTCTGCCAATGTTACAGTCGATGGAAAACCAGCGACTCTACAGAATACAGCTGGACAAGATTACAGCAGCTGGACAAGAATATATCCTCAAACAGATGTATTCTTAATTTGCTTTTCCCTTGTAAGTCCTGCGTCATTTGAAAATGTCTGTGCAAAGTGGTATGTGGAAGTGCAACACCACTGTCATAACACTTCCATCATCCTAGCGGGAACGAACTTGATCTTAGGGGTGATAAAAATGTGATCAAAAACTGAAGGAGAAGAAGCTGACTGCCGTCACTACCCGCAGGGGTTAGCCAATGCTAAGGAGACTGGAGCTGTAAAATACCTAGAGGGCTCTGCTCTCACAGCAAGGTCTCAAGACAGTGTTTGATGATGCTATCCAAGCAGTTCTCTGCCCACCACCCGTCAAGAAGAGGAAGAGAAAATGCCTGCTGTTGTAAATGTCCTGAGTCTCCCATTCTTGGTCCTGTCCCTTGGAATCTTTGTTTGCTTTGCTCAAAAAACAGAGGAGTTTTCGTGCTCCATGCCAAGTTTTGATACGGATTAATTTTTCCATAACACCATTTTGAAGCAATCAGTAATTTTAAGGTTTTCTTTTAAATGTAAGAGTTCAAACTCACATTGTATTAAAATTTACCCCTAAAATGACAAACCTTAAAGCCTTATTTTTCAAAAGCCCCTATTCTTGCTCAGATTTAGAGTTGCCAAAATACCTTCTAAATTTAGGTTGCATTGTGCTAAGAACGCTTAAGCACGGACCTGTTCAAAGACCCTGTGTTTACCAAGACTGCAGCTTCAGTAGGCAGATGGTGAGCACTGCCTGAGCAGCCCGGCCTCCTTGATGAAATGTTGCCATGTAACGCAGCGGTCACTTCCCGGCCTGTGCTCATTACCTAACTGTACTGCATGTCATGGTGGCATGAGTAGAACAATTCAGTTCTTTGGATCAGTCTTTCTGATTTTTGTAGTGAGTATTTTTTTTTAATCAGTTGCCTCACTTTTGTGGAGAATTTGAAAAAGAACACTCATTCTGCGTTTCCTGGTTGTGGGTATGCTGGGTGGAGTTGTAAGCACAACATGATCAAAGGATGAAGACAGTATTATTTCAACAAAATATGGAGACTAATTTATACTACATTATATAATGGAATAATTCAACTGAATAAAAGTGTCACGGATAAAGATTTTTAAAGGTTAATTTCTGTCAAATGCAGTAGATGATGAAGAAAGGTTGGTGTTACCAGTAAGTGTCTTTTGTCAAGCTTTTCCTTTTTCCTACACTTTCCATCCCTTTTCTTGTAGACTGGTAAAAGTGTACTGCTGTCTTCACATTACTTTATTCAAAGCTGCTGAGTGCTTTCCTTAGTTTTCTAGTAACTCAGTATAAAGATCATGTGTTTCAGATTTACAGTTTTTCAAATATTTTAGAGATTCTCAAACTATAAACTTTCCAAACATCACTGTCTTGCCAGATCACCAACACTGTCACATGACTAATGCTGCCCCTGCCCCTCTCCATCTCCCAGACAGACACCTAATGTCTGTGGCTTCACCTAACAACATTCCTTTGGGTCTGCAAGGTTCTGTAAACCGTGCAAGAGTGAACGATGTTTTATACAACTTCACTCACTGGCAAGAACACAATGTTGGACCTTTCAACCACTAGAGCAAATTTTTCTTAACTGACAGTTGCAGAATTGTGGAGTGTTTTCACATTGATCTTTTGCTAGTACAGTTAGCAGTATGTTTTGCATGTATGACTTAATAAATCTACGAATCACAAAAAAATTCAACTTTATATACAGGGTTAGCCAAAGAGCATGGTGAACTGCACTCATGCAACCAATCTTTACTGAACACCCGTATGGCAAGAACTTGCAAGGCCCTCTGGCTCACCATTGCCTTTCCTCTGTATTTGCTTAATTGTGCCTGAAATTCTTCTAATGGGGATGAGGGACTCATAACTAGTGATAAAAGACTGGGGTAAGAGGACCCTACAATCCTGAAATACATAAAAAATAAGACTGATGAGTGAATATGTGATAAAGCAGGTACTGTGAAATATTACAGAATTTACGTTGTGAGTTTATGGTATTTATAAACTCAGAATGGAAAGTTATTCAACTTTTCTACGTTTGAAATTTTTCCTAATAAATGTTGGATGGAAAACAAATGGTAGTAGTGGAGTCTGCCAGTCAAGAAATTCCATCAGCTCTGTACGCTGAAAGGGAAGAAGGCGCTGAGGGACACAGGCAGGCAAGTAAACACTGCCAGCCCTGCAGTCACTTTGGGTCAGGACAAAGGACAAAGAAACCACGTGCAGGTATTTTTCCCACACAGCTGCAGGAAGAATTGTGCCTGTCATGTTGTGGGGTATTTTTGAAAAACATGTCGCATCAACTTCAGTCCTCTATGCAATAGTACAGCTAGGAGATAAATGCAGGAGGGTGCTACCAGGAAGGAAGTGCGCTTCCCCTGGAGAGAAGCCCGGCATGCTAACAGACCCAAGCTCCAGGGAGGCTGCTGTTTCCTTACTGCTCCTTAAGAATCTTGCTTATTTTCTTTAAATCCAGCTAAATCCAATACGGAATTCCTAAACCTCATTTACTAACCTTCTGGTTGGGTTAAACAGAATATGAAGCAGGTAAAAACTAAGCACTGAATGCTCTCTCATACATTTACACTAAGTGAACACTTGGGTCAGATGTTTCTGTTCTCTCTAAAGTCGATGTTGAAACTTCACCCCAGTGCAAAGGTGCTGGGAGGTGGGGCCTAGTGGGCTGCTTACTCCTGAGCTTTGACCTCACGACTGGGCCAATGCTGAAAGCGGGCCCCAGGGAATGGGTTCACTCTTCTCCGCTCTTCTGCATGTGCGGGCACAACCACCTCCTCCTGCAGGACCAAGAATTCAAGGTGCCAACTTGGAAGCAGAGCCCAGCTCTAACCCACAGAGCTTTCATCTTCAACTCCCAGTCTCCAGAATGTGAGATAATAAATTTCTGTTCTTTATAAAAGTACCCAGTTTCCAGTGCTCCATTATGGCAGCATAAAACCCTCATGGAAAAGTATTTACTACCATTGCAGGTTTGTTTAAAACATTATACCAAACAACTAGAGATGTTTCTTAGAAATTAGCATTGAGAATAATTTTGAGTCAGGTGTGGAGGCTCAAGTCTATAATCCTAGCTACTTGGGAGTCTGGAATCAGGAAGAACGTGATTCAAGGCCAGTCACAGCCAAAAACAAAAGTTGGAGAGACCCCATTTCAACAGAAAAAGCTGGTTTGTGGCATGCGCCTGTCATTCTAGCTACAAAGGCAAGTGTAATAGGAGGATCACAGACTGGATCAGCCCGGGCAAAAAACAAGACCCTATCTCCAAAATAAGCACAGCAAAAAGGGCTTGTGGTGTGGCTCAAGCAGTACAGCACCTGCCTCACAAGTGAAAAGCCCTGAGTTCAATCCCCACTACCACCAAAAAAGAAATTAGCATTGAGAATAATTTTGGAGAACAGAAATATTTAATGAGCATATTTTCAAGTAAGAGTATAACCTGTCACTAGAAAAAAAAAAAAAAAGACGACTGTTTAGCCCAGAGAGGCTTAGGTAAGACAGGGAAGCTCTAGCATTGAAAACCTCTGGGCACACCCTCCCATCACCCACTTCTTTCTTCTTCCCTACCCTTGTATTTGGCTTCCACCTGTTTACTTATTTTTTACTTTTTCCCCTTTTCGTCCCCTATTTTTCTTCTTACTCACAAATGTCAGTATCCAAACGGATAAAGATGCTACCCTCAACCCAAATGCCAATCAGTCTGTTTCTTATGTGGCCTTGAAAGAAAAGGTCCATTTTTGCACACTCCCTTTTCCAATGTCAGCTACACTTTCAGAAATGTTTCCTCAAGTATCTATAAGAGCTAAAATTCCACAAAGTTCCTGGTCAGCAGATAACTTCATGCTGCATATTTGATACACACTGTCAAACACAAATGATCTCTTAAACAGAAACTTCAAAAAGAACTACAGATAACATAAATGGCTA